TAATATAACATATTTCGTTTTTGATGGATACTGGCAGTCGTGTTTTTTTTATTATTTCTTTTTTAATGAAGTAGTGTTTATAGTTATGAAAACTATTTGTTGTTTTTGTTTTCTGCTAACAACCCCAAAAATATTGTTTCATCTAAAAAAGTTGGTAGCCCTAGTTGCGTTCGAACAGCGGACAATATCTCCCTGTATTTCCCCGTAGGAAAGTTTAGTTTTGAACCGCCCTCGCGGCGTACGTAATCACGCAATGCTGGCCTCTTAGCTCTAAGTAAACAAATCTTCGACATTGTATCTGTACGCTTTAACTATCTTTATTCAAAGGAACGTTGTCAAGAGAATGTACGATTATTGTGGTGTTTCTTATGGATTGCGTTACGAAAGTATACAACTCGCGATCGCGTTAAGGGCCGCTATCTGTGATTTCATGTTGTTTATCAATTTGAACACGCCAATAGAAGTATTTGTTTCTCGCAATTTATTTGTATGCGTTCACTCGGATCGGCATAACCTTTGACTGGCTTCAACATCGTTAGATAAGAAAACTTCAATATTGATTTAAAAAAAAAAACTTTCAGAGTAGTTTAACTCTGAAAGTTTTTTTTATTTTTTATATCATACTATCTGTTATCCCGCAACTTCGCCCGCGTAAATTATAAACTATGATAGATTACGTCTAACTATGACGTATGTTAGCCTCTTATGAAATATTTTTAAAATAGGTCCAGTAATTTCAGAGCCTATTTGATTAAAAAAAATAACACAAAATATCAAATATTTATAGTATTAATATTAATTATAATATTAATATAGACGCTGAAGATTATACTATATTCTCAGGATTAATACAGTACAAAACCAATTTGGGTATAAACGTAGCAATGCCAAAGGAATTCATCTTTCTCACAGTCTGCGCCTAATGTCCTCAGTTTGTTGCGACGGCTATAAATCTGAACAATCATACAGTCGGTCATCTTTCTTTGTTATTATATTAAAGGGACGACATTCCATCCTCGTAATTATGCAAAAAGCCGGACCATGGCCGCGGCGGCTACCCTTTGACAGCAGCATCATTATAGTTGACATAAGCTAAGATTTATACGATTGATTTATTTAGCAAATATGAATTAACTCTATCTAGGTCTTATGAACCATTAATAACGAGATCGAAGTTTATGGACATCTGTTTATATATCAAGTGGTATTTTATTTTTCTGTCGCGATGTTACCAACGGTGTCTAAACAGGATTCAACGGTTGCCTAATTCGGCGAACAGTGGTTAAATTAGTCGGCGATGCGGGCGTCTTTATAGTCGCTTAAATTGGCAAAAAACCGAAACAAGCCCCCAGTGACACCGATCGCGGAGGCATCAGCGAAACAGGTGTTATCATAAACATACATTTTGTTATAAAAACAAAATAATTTTCATGAGTGGCCGGTAGGCGCGAAGTGCCGTTCGTGTCGCCGACACAATGGCGTATTCATAGTTTTATTTTCTTCGTCGTCGGCCTAAAAGAAGACGATATTAAATTTAGTAAGCGGAGAGGTGTCCGAAATCGCACGCAGACGTGCGACCCGCCACACATATTTCCATCCGCACAAAAAGCGGAACTATAGCCATAAACATGTCCAAACAAACGTTAGCCGTTGACCGACTGAATAGAGTTTCGGCACGTCCAGGGAGCGACAATTATTTTACTATTTTTTCGGGAATGGTAAATAAATATTGATCTGGATTGGTAAGTGATCAAAGTGATTGTTTTATATAGTGTTTTTGTTTTTTTAATTAAATATTTTTTTTTCCATAAAATCACTGAATTTGGCTGCTTTATGTACATAATTCATGTTGTGTATATCAGAAAAATGTCAAATGGATTACGAATGTGATAAAATCTTCAAAACGTACTGATAATTTATTATTTTAATACCCATTAAATTAATTGCAATTACTTACTGATATTAAATTAAGGAATCAAACGCAATAATAAATTTAAGAGGCATACGGCATTGTGTGCACTAACAACGTGAAACGTCGCGGTTGCGCGCGCGCCGATGAGATGACACTCCGCTTCGTACGCCCGATAATATGTGTACATATGTAACATTAAACTGCACAAATAAAAGACACTTTCACACTACATGGGTTCAAGAACAAGTTTTTCCATAACACAAAAGACGACAGTGAATAGTTATAGCTGCTTCGCGGCCTCGTCGTATAATCCAATAAAACAATTCGCGGAATGTACGGTCAGAGAATTATAGTGGGCTAGTTTAATACACTACTGAATCAAGTACAATTTTATTGTAGCCGATTTATTAGTAGTCTCGGTATTTGATATAAGGACAGGACAAAGTACCTAAATGTATCCGATTGAGACAAGGTTGAGGTTTTAGTTTTAAATATTCTTGAAGTTCGAATAATGAATTTGTGATGGGTGTGTGTTAACTGATATTTATTATTTAATTGCGCTTGTTACAACCTTTCACTTTATTTGCGATATGTAATTCGCATAGGTTTCAATTAACTATATCTATATTAATATGCTTAAGAAGAAATAATTGATTCTTCTCAGTAAATAGGCTGAGAAAGTACTGGACTGATTTTAAAAATTCTTTCATCTTTAAAAAGCATGCGTCTATAAAAAGGTGCGTAAAAATAGCTATTTATTAAATATAAAAACAAAATTGTTAATTTCATGTTTGTAAAACCCGATAAACAATTTAGAGATGAAAAAATAACTCGCCTATCTACCTATCACCAACGTAGCGTTTTATAATTATCATTCCCTTGGTAAGTCGATAATATTGAAGCTTAACTATTTTGTATATTCTCACTTCTTCTGTCTGTACCGTTGAAATTGGCGACTGAATCTCAAAATATATGAATTTGATTCAATGGTAAGGCAGCGGCTCTCCTTTCTGCTTCGAGGGCTGCCACCGGGGGCATGCGTGTGTCCACTTCTTTTTTACTTTTCATTCATATTATATATGGTTACATTATGCAGTCACCAAATATATTCCGTCATATCTGCTTCTGTATGATAAATATTAATATTTATACTGCATGAACTCGCATATGAAATATCTGTTCATATTATTGTCGTGGAATACCTGAAGATGCAAAAGTTTGGTTAGATTTGAAGAAAAATATATGATTTCGTCATATTACTTTGGTTTTATTTACCGGTGTAAAAGCTATAACCAAGGAGTTTTTGTTAAATTTATCAGAGGCTTTTGTATGACCCTAGATCATCCATTATGCAAGTGCCCACTAACACGTGTACCACGGTGCGTCGGCGACACCTCGCCTTCCATAATTGTTTCAATATTATACTCATTGTTTACAATGTTGAACTTTAAGCGAATTAATCATTACTTTTTTACTGACACTAAAACTAAGTGCGCCTTCAAATATAAATTCACTGGTTAACAAAATATCTATTTGTAAATTGATCCAAGCGTTAGAATCTAGAAACTGATATTACAGAAAAATACTACTAAAATGAAACATTATTTTCCACAATCTGCAATAAGCTTGGCGAGATTACTGAATTTCTCAAGCATTTGTTATTTCCGCTACTAGTGAGAGCTTTTTATCAATGTTCAGATAAGCTACTTAAACAACAATCAAAAATTCTGAAGCTAAAATGAAAATGTCTTATATTTGATAAATTTTGCAGTCAAATATGGAACATTTATATTTATATCAAATAAAAATATTGGCGAAATTCAACAGTCCCATTTGCAATGGGATTCGAACCGAAAACCTTTCGCAATCCTCGCAACTCAAACCAAATGAGCTATCCGAGACCTTAATTATATTCGAACTCATTGATTATTCGTTAATAGACGAGTAGAAATAAGAAAACGCAAAACGTAATTTGCATTCAGCTCAGTTGTATCCCAAGAAATAATTGATTCAAGTGACTTTTTTAATAAACCGTTTCCAGGCAATGAATGTAATTTACTTTAATACAAGTCAACTTTTGCAATTCCACTCTCACGAGAATGTTTGAGCGTTCTTAGATCATCATTACAGACTTAAAAGGTTGTGTATGCATGATGAGGGTTACACTACGACCAAAGCGGACAATTCGTCTGCGTGAAATTGCCAGGATCTTATTCCAAATGTTCAACATCTCCGATTTCACCCAATTTGTTATCTTTTATTTTTGTTAGCACGTTTTCACATCTCCCGCTTCTTTTTGTCCAACATAATTTTCTATTGTAACAGGTGTCATTGTTATGCCACCACCGCTGCGACATCGAACAGTTATTTCATCAAAACTAACCGCACCCTAGTCTACAAAAAGGGGCAACACTATAGATGGATGTTTGTAGCGAACTTGTATATTTTATCATCTTTTAAGGTAAACACTTTATATAAACGTGCGTGGACTTGCAGGAGAGTGCCGTATGTGTTCATTAAGATTACTGATGTTTAAGTGCTGTATATTTATGCCTATTTATGGTCAAAAATAATTCCTTATGTGTTCAAATAGTCGCAAATACAGCGTACCCCCCGTGCAGAAGATATTTTTGCTATTTGTATTTCTTAATAAAGTAGTGACACTTTATTTTTTTACTATAGGAGCATGATAAGTATCGAATTAAGATCAGATAATAAAAATAAGACCAGAAATTGTGTTGACTTTTAGTGTTACAAATATCATTTTATTTCTTATATTTTTTTTATGAAAACGATTTTATCACTTAGTTTTGAAATGTCATTTTATCGACAGCAGTAAGTATGTGAGAAATAATTAATTCTTGAACGGTACATATTAAAATTTATTGCAGTCTTCTTTTTGTCGCAAACTAATTAATAAATAAATATCTTCAATTAATTGTAATTTGTAAACTTCCACTTAAACTGATTTAATTTTAGTTAAAAAAACGAATCATCTCTGAGACGTGTGAGTTGCATGCGTTTCACCGAGGATTCGAATGGATGACTGGTTAATTGTCGTGTACGCAACGCACGTACCGCCGCTGACATGTCACAAGACGTCTGCCACCGACCGCGGCGATCCCTCAACGAATTCCTGTCGACAAGAGCGAAAAATACACGAGCCGAGCATGCGACGGTAAAAAGTTGCGCATCGGAAGCCACGCTGCGGGAGGCGGTCCCTGCGCCCGCGCCGATGCCAGGTCGCTGGCGGGGACCGCAGCCGCAAATGAATCGTACGATTAAAACTCATCGCTACCAATGTGCCATTAGATAGATCCGTTCTTTTTGTTGATGCTTACAGAAGTTGTATTCCGAATAAGGCGAACGAAACGATGTCCCATAAAACAATGAATAAATTCAACGTTATGGTTGTATTTTAAGAAGGTAAAGTATTAACGATACTATATTTTTGTAATTTTTATTCGTCTAAAAGTAGTCGCAAGAAAGTTCCTAGTTCTCAGTATCGAATTGGAGAATTTTCGAAAGGACATCTTGCCGCGCGCGCCGGCTCTTACAAAAACAAAACCGTCTGGAAACGTTGCCGTTGCGCACGCGACTCTCGTCGCCGACAAGCACTCCCGCTAAGTTCCCAAACCACAATTTTACACAGCCCAATGTTCATTACGTACAGTGTTCTCAACTAAGTTTTTAAACAGCCACTGACATGATAATTACTGAAAGATTCTTAACCATTTCAACATCGCACTGCCGTAATGAAGTAATGTTAAGTAAATCAACGATTAAGGTAAATGTCACGGTAAGAAAATGCGAGTGCGCCCTCAGCATGGCAATTGGCAGTGAGTGAGCGGAGACGCCGTCATCATACGAATGATGCGATGTAACGGCCCGACCTGATTATTTCTGTCCATTTCACGACTGTTTAATAGCAATGTTAAACTCGACGAAAGCAAACATACCCTGGCCCCTGTTTATCGAATATTTTACGATCTTCACCGGATTCATTTTAAATATGCTAAGCTTTGTGGAAGCGGCTGAAAGATTGTTTGATCGCTAAATGCGTTGCTAGTTTTACTATTTCAGTTATTTATATTACAGTTAGTCATTTACCATTCTGATTTACCTGCTTGTATGTTTGTTCTGATTCGTATGTTTATAATACACGAAATATTTACTTTATTTCAAATAAGATTTACTGTTCAAGGAATTATTTGGCGTTGTAACATCTGTTAGACATCGGATTTTGTTAATTCTTTTTAATAATAATTGTTTATAAATTTATTTTCCAATATTTTGTATTCTACTGATCGATACATTTAATTAAAATGAAAAAAAAAATACTATTTCAATATACGCTCTACAAATAATTAACCTTCCGTAGCGTTTGTTTGACTTGGAAATTAATATGCATAACCATCTATTGTTTTGGGTTATTATAATTAAAGCGGGCCGGCTAATGTGGTTTTTGTGTTAACTAAATCGAACCGCTTCCGTTGCAGGTGACGACGCTCGATAACATCTCTGGTAAACACGTAAAAATATCTACGAGTTCATGTTGTGTATTCGTGCCTTTAAAATTAATAGTGGAATAGATATCAGCTGATATTTCGTTTACACTTGGGAGCGCGTTCGTTTTGTGTTGTCATTTACATAAAAGGTAAGCTTAGCAGTATTCATGCGCGTGAATTTGTTTATGCTATACCTTATCGACGAAATGAATAAATGATTCGGTCGCAAGCGAAGGTGGATTTCAACTTAAATTGATAACAGGTTGATTGTAGGAACAATGCAGTGTTGTTGCAGTACCAACAGTTACGATATCGAGAGTCGTTCTCGAAAAATAATAATACTACATCATCATCATCAGTTCTTTTACGTTCCCACTGCAGTAGCTCAGGCCTACTTTATGTATAGTTAATTAGATGGGCCCTAATCTCCCATGCTGGAACAATGCGAACTACAAATGTCGGGAACAATGGCTTCCGAAGCACCGAGTATTCGTGGCGCTTATCCACACCAACACTAAGCTACTCTCATATCATCATCATCAGTAGTAAATTAATCTTCCTATTACTGTTGTATTAATAAAATATATAGCAAGAATTGGCCAGGCGCAGTCCAATTGCAGATTGAAAGAAAGATAGAAAAATGTTTCACTGGCCTTCACATTTCACGTATTGCAACATTAAAGGAAAATAAAGAGGTAGTACACGGGAGGCCAATCAAGTGGCAATCTCAATGATATCATATGTGACAGTTGACATCACAAAAGCATTGATATTCTGACAGACCCTGTCAGGAGTGTCGTACATAGGTTTTAAATAGTATCTCGAAACAACTATGTAATAACAAACAGCAAATAAAGAGACTCACATGAAGTGGGAGACCACACATAATAACAAAATAAAACACAAAAATAACATAATAAGTTGTTGATTACTTGTAACAATACGTCAGGCCACACGAAAAACTAAGATGAGAGTTAAAGACTGCATATGCAGCCTGAACCAACAGCTTTGTGACGGTGTGCCGTACCACCGTTTTCATCCTAGGTTTTCGCATGCAAACTTTTTGTCTTTGATATTCAAAATCATTTCTTTTTATTATTCATCTTTCGAAATTTGAAATTATGACAAATCCAATATGCTCTTTATGAATGTCAGTTCATAAAAAAATTGATTTGGTGTGAACATGTCAGTGTAAATCGTATAAATTTAAATTTAAAATATTATAATAATGAAGTTATCATGACAAACCGAAATGAAAAGAGGGGTATGTATTTGTTCTATTTGGTAAATGTACTTCTTATTCTATTTTTCGGTAAACTTACAACTGTTTTTTATATACATTTTTTGTTTATTACAGTTTTTTTTTCTTTACCCTTTGCTTATTTACCATAAAATAAATCAATTCTCCAGCTTAGTCGGCCTTTCATTAATTCGCCCAAGCATAGAACCCGTCACGGCTTTATGTGCTTTGCGAAGCACGAAGGAGTCAGATATCATACATTTTTGGTTGATTATCTAATTGGTTAGGTTTTCTGTAACGCCACCGATAGTAATCGTTATTGAAAAATAAAACGACACTTTTTAATTTTAGTTTATGCTACTGAAGTTATTATAAGTATCGACAATATTTGCATTGCCATAAAATACGATACTATTTATATGGCAAGCTATCAATATTTAAAATAATACTGTATTGCTATTTGATGAATTCCGTGACCGAGTGGCTCGTACAATTTCAAGGTCCTGATTTCTAGTATCGGGTATTTGTATTGTGATATCTTTGTTATTTCAGAGTTGAATAGTTTTATATTATACAAAAGACTTATACAAAATAATATACAGAACAAGTCATATGTTTTTGATGCTGATGTATAGTTATGTTGTTTCTTTCTTTATATCATGTTGTTTTAGATTCTGAGTCCGCAATCACATATATGTATACATGGAAAAAACACTGAATCTATTATAATATTATAAACAGGAAAGGTTTTATTGATTGTATGTTTATTTGTATCAAATAGGTTCCGAACTACTGGACCCATTAAAAAACTTCATCTACGGGAAACTGTATCATACGTGGGTGATGTAGCTTCTTATATATGAAAACTCAATAATTTTTGTAAAGTACACTGACAAAACACTTCAGTGAGTTATAAAATTATCGTTCATTGAATATGTTAAAAAAAACGACACGTTCGCAATTGTTATCACGTGTCAAATAGTTGAAGCGTGAAGTTCGTTAACATCTTTGTAATGTTTAATGCAAAGTGATTATGATTGATTTTTAAATTAGACAATAAGGCCATAAGGTTATAATAATATCGGTTTTATGGTAATGGATATCAAAGTTCTTATGTATTTTTTTAAAAATTATTCAGTGTTATCGTTAATGATAAAGCTTAAAAAATCCACATTGAGATGTCAGAGTACTAGAGACATAGTGGATTTTTTTTAGCATTTTTCATTAATAATACTTTCTAGTATAGCATTGTGCAAGCTTCTTAGCCATTCTCAATAATACTAGTATAAGCCTCCTTCAGATCCCGTCATCTCACTCGATGTTCAGCTACCTATCTATTTTATTTGTAGTTTTCATTATGACGTTCTTCCACCTCTTTTGGCTTCCTCTCAGTTTCTTTTCAGTTAAAGACCTCTACTCAGAGACTGTTTAACCTCATTTTATCTAATGGGGCAAAACAGTGTTTCTATATTAATTTTCAATGTGGTAAATACTCATATTGTGTCATACTATTTATTTTTCCCAACGATTCGGTAATAATAGGTTACCGTAAAAAATCTGAGTCACGGAATATGAATGTCATTGTAACATAATTATATTACAACACGTAGATTATGAGGGCGTACATAATTATTCTAATAATTCGCTCGTCCGGATATCCTAAACTATTGTTCATCGTATGTTTTATAGACTCAGCTTTTGTTGTTACGACTGATATTATTAAAAAATATGCAAATCAATCGACGGTAAAGGGACTACTCTCAACTATAAATTTAATGCTGCCTTAAATTTATTTTGCTTCAATATTTGTAGAACATTTGTGAAATTTAAATAAATTAATATCATTTATTCAGTCTACGCTGATATATATACACACAACAAAATATTACGCGATCCATTCGTAAATCTGCTTTAAAAGTACATACTGAGAAAACCCTGCAAGACTCAGCAAGGGCTGCTTTTTTCTTGTGTTACTTTATATATAAAAGTGACTTAATTATACTATGAGGCCACTTTACATGAAAATAATAGCAGCTGTGCAGCATATGCTGTGTATGTTATACTGAATTTTCAATCGAAACTCTATGTATTTGAAGATATATGATTCAATTGTATGTATGAATGTCGTGCACACAGAATAGACCCCCAGGATGTTCGTTTTAGTAATGATGTTGGGATATTTGCATGTAAATGTGTTTGCGGATGTTAGAGACATACAAATTGTAATGCATCGTCATAGTAATAAAGTGCACAGCGCGATGCTCCAGTAAAATTATGCAGGTTTTGTGTATAGTTTCCGCCCGAATTAAATTTTCCTTAATGTGACAGCATATGACGCCATAACGATCGAAAAACAGTCACAATTATGAAGAGATAGTGACGGTAACACCGCTTTTGGATCGGTAATGTTATTTAAAATAGTATTTTAGATAACATCATTCAGGTAAATTTTTGAAGTTTCCGTAAATGTTACATTAATGATTGTTAGTAAGAGAGATTCTCAAACTTGTTTAAATTACTGCCCACTTTGAGAATTTAATGTTTATAGTGACCCCCGAAATCAATTTATTTTGATTACCTGTATATGTCATTGGAATATAAGTATTTCTTTTTCAGTTAAAAGTCAATAGTTTGTGTTCATTTGTCATGGTTTCACGGCTGAAATATCAAGTAGGTTTCGGTGAAATTTGATAATAAGAAGAGTTTGTTACTGGAAAAATTTAAGGTACTTTTTACTTTTGTTTATTTTTGTTGAAAGACTCCTACGCCCACTTAGGGGTGTTGTGTACACTTTAAGAAATACTGTTTTAATTTTTTATATTTAACATTTATTATTGGAGACATCTTTTATAATTGGAGTAGTCCGTGGTATAGTGGAT